GTTATTAAGCACCTATCTGTCTTACCAATATAATCACTATTGCAGCCTGGACATTTAAAATGATAGACAACAGAACTTCTGTACTCCTTAGGGGTTTGATCCTTAGTAGATATAAAATGAGAAACATTTTTATACTGCCATAAAGTTATGAATTTTACCTCTTTAATTAAGTGTTTCTTTACCTTATTTAAACATCTACGTAAAATGAACTCTCCTGGTTTTCCTAGATAAGGCAATCTAATCCAAATCTTAATCAAGCTATCATCAGTAGGCCTATGTATACATTTAGGTTCATTTAATTTCTTAAGTACATTATTAACAACTTTTAAAGGGTACCCATTCCAAGACATAAACTTCCTGATGTTACTAAGCTCTGTTTGAAGTTTATCAGGAGTACACAATCTGTGGGCTCTAGAAACTAAACTACGAATCTAGGAGATCTTATGGTTCCATGGAGCAAAGCTATCATAATGGACATATTGACCTGTATGTGTATTTTTACGTTATCTACTCATGCTTCCTACACTGTTGTTTTCTTCATTATCGCAACACCATTTCCTTTATCAGGTTTAAGAATTACATACTTATTACGTAAGATTTTTAAAGTATTAATACGTTTGGCATCACAATTTAAATTTCGGTTATCAAAGTCAAGAAAGTTACATGTCATTGCACGAATTGAGTTCTTAATTTTCTGACGTTTAATGAATGATTTAGGTAGAGCATCAGCATTATTAAGTTGTTCCCAAATTGATTCAGCAAAGTTTCCTTTGATTTCCCCTATTCCACTCTAGTTCTATTAGGGTAAGGGGTGCCTGAGTCATGGGTTGACCGAGAATCAACTTGTGCTCGACAGATATTTTATTATATTTCAGATCCCTGGTCAGCGAAGAGTGTCCCCATACTGCAGGTTGGGTGCTGGATTTGAGTCCCCCTTCCTTTATTTCCAATGACATCTGTTCACTTGTTTTTGCGTATATAGACCCTCGTACTTTGCAGTATAAATGCATAACCTTTAACATAGTATAATACATACTCCAAGTATCGAAATGCACGCTATCGTGTCGGGATTCAATATTTCGACATTAATTATGTCATCATCAGGAACCATTTAATAAAATTTAATATAAATGGTGTACAATTTACGTCCGTTTATTTTACCGTAACATTTTTTTAAATTCTAATTTTCATTTCAAAAATATTTTATATATAAGCCTATAAAGTAAGTAATATAGACCAAATGTTATTTTTACTCATTACAGACAGTAGACTTTTGCCTGAAATTGAGAAAGAAGCATTATAGATTTCATGTTTTAAAAATGTAATTAACCATTAACTAAGCTAATATCCTCATCGTAGCAAGTAAACTGGTGGGTCTGCTTGCGATGTTAGCGCCTAGTTGTGCCAGGCCGCCGTGATGGGTTCGTCTGCTCAGATAGCTGTGTCTATTTAATCCAAACTATTCTAAATCGTTGTATTTCTTTAAATAGCACAATGATCTGCACTGGTTTGGCCCGACCGGAAACCTAAAAAGAGAACTTTCAGTTAGACTTACAACATAGGCATACAGTATGCCCAAATACATCGCCATAGCTAATGCCATTATCAATAAATAAATATCCTACAAAACGTTTACGATTTCAAGAATATTTTCCAATTCTGATTTTCTTTTATACAATCTATCAATCAATTATGGATTTATTTATTTCCAAACGTCACATTTCTCGCAACTTCGGACGGTCGTCCATAGCCCATAAAGGTGTTATGACGTAATCAGTCTTTGGAAAATTAATTTCATGTGTTTAGCAGCGTCGACCTGCCATTTCATCATACTTAATTCATGCACAGATCCGTTACCGGTAACTTTGCACCAGTGGTGTATCTAGAGATTACTCGCGCCCCCATTGTCTCCCCCCCCAAAAAAATCACCGTCAAGTATTTAAAAACTGCCTAAAATCACCTTATTTTGCGAATTAGCGCCCCTCAACTGATCATCGAGCCCCCACACTTCACCTTCGCGCCACCACCCCCCCCCCATCAGCATCCCATTTCACGACTCCTAGATAGTCTTACGCCGTGAACACGTGTGTCCCTGTCTCTCGTACGACGGTCGCAGAGGCGGATACAGAAATTTTCTGAAGAGGTGGGTGGAGGGGGGGGGGGAGGCAATGGGTATTCCACACCAACCTCAGCCCCACCATGGTTGGAGCTGAGGTGAGCAAACTTTTAAAATAAGACCCTCTAGACGCTCGAGAATGGCACTCTCAGATGGTAAAAATATGCTTTTCAAAGCAGTGCTGCTCGAAAAAAATTATTGACTTCTTCTCGACTGGAGGTATGCTCCCTCTCCCTTAGACACCCCTTCCCTCACGGACGTCGCAAAGGTCTAATCAAGGACCTATAGTCTATTCTCTACTGGGAGTCGCAAAGCAAATTATGATTTTGGTACCTCTATATCCCGGAATGGCACTCATTCAAAATTAAAATTTGAATATTTTATCTCCATTTAAAGAAAATGTTTACAAATGTAGGGAGTCCTGCCCGGCTGGGCAACTCAGGGCCGGCGGAACGTTTTACAAAGTGGGGGGCCCCACTTATA